TTTTCATTTAATCGTCACTATTTGCTTAAACAATAGTGTTTTTTTTTTTTAATTTCCAATGAGAGTGAGTTCAAGAGCAATTATTATTAAAGTGTTGAAAGACTTACCCATAAATTATAAGCTTACCGCCTTTGTAAATACTACCACTTTTTTTTTTAAGCAATATTCATACTAGCCCTTTGCATTTTTCTTACGGACAGCAAATTGTAAGGAACCTCTGGACAGTCCAGCCTATACCAAAGACTTTCCTGTATGCCCATATCGCTGGGAATACTAATTGTGCCTTTTTCGTTGCTGTTATAAGGGTTCCATTTTTTTTTTTTATTGATGGAATTGTTTTGTTTCACTTTTTTTTTATTGTGTTTCAAAGACTTGATTTTTTTTTCGAAATTGCGTCTTTTAAAATCGATTTTAAAATATCCTCAACGATAATTATTTCTAAATTGCTGAGCTCTGATGTTCTTATCTAAGTTCAAGCTCTGTTAGCATAAAGCCTTTTGTTTCTTTTTAGTTTCAAATTTTCCATTGTCACATTAAACACTCCCGGTTTTCACAACCGCAATGAATACACGTACACTGGTCCCATAACCTGTTGGAAAATTATCGATATTCAATATATTTATTATATCGAACACAGCGTGGAAAGCAGAGCGTGTGAACTCATAGAAATAACTATACGAACTGACTCAACATCAAGACAAAGAATTATAAACCCTTTCTTAAGTAAACGATTCCTCATCTGTTTATCTTACATATAAAAACTATTATAAACACATTCAGTCATCAATAGCTGCGATATAAATTAGCAAAGTATAGCGCAGTCTCGTTTTGTCCTCGCCAGAGTGTGGGCGGTTGGTTTAAGGAGCTCAAAGAGCTTCACCGGGTGGTGCACTGGAGGCGTGTAGAGACCAAATTTTGGCTCACCTCCGCGAGTAAAAACCGAGATTCATCGCCATCCGTGGATTTGTTTGCGTCTTTTTGACTAAGCCGGCTTAGATTCCTAGATAAACAGAAGGTTCACGCGTGGTTACGTTGGCAAAATGGCGGCCAGAGTCTGAGACTCGTGAAAGCGCTGTTTGTTTTGACAGAAAAAGGTTATATCCGGTTTCAGCGATTGATCTAGGCAAATCCTGGATGTGCCTTTCACATTAGGAAAAATTGAAGATAGAAGAAAAGAGTGAAACAAATAGGGGACCTATGATATGGCCTAGAGCCAGACAACATCAGGGTCGCCACGAAATCGTGCTGGCAAATTGCCTCAGTAGCAGCGCCATTAAAACAAGCAAGCAAGCAAAGTATAGGCTAATAAACAAAGTTTAATTTATTAATTTTTGTTTCACTGATATGAATATCAGTTTATCCAACACTGTAAAACTTAAACGGTTAATTTTACAGGAAAACCGATTTTACATTCCTATCTTAGATTTTCATAAACTATCATTTGACTCCAACTTTGAATTTACCCGGAGATTAAATTTAACTGGAAATTTTAATCATAGATTAAATTCAAAATTGGTGTCAAATGATAGTTTATAAAAATCTAAGATAGGAATATGGAAACGGTTTTCCTCTAGAATTAACCTTTTAGGTTTTACAGCCTGTCAAAGTTGCAAAATAGTCAATTTTCAACTGTCAATATTTCCGAAACAGTTGAAGATAGGTATAGGACATGTTTCATGAAAAATACTAAGAATTTTATCAGAAATTCGAAAATGTAAAAAAAAATTAGGGGTGTCCATTTAAAAAAAATTAAGTTACTACCTGTCCAGCTCGCTGTCCAGCTTTTGGGCGACCACCCTGTATAATAATTTAATTTTTTAAAAAATGCTCGACAATAGTATATTACAATCCGAGACGGGAAATGCTTCATTACTGGTCGAGAGGTTTTATAGTTTATCGAGACGCGTAGCGTCGAGATAAACTAAACCTCGAGACAGCAATGAAGTTTCCCGTCGAGGGTTGTATACTATTTTATTTTTAAACATAATTTCTGGAAAAAAAAAAATTCGGAGCAACCAAATGAGGTCGGCAAATGAAGAGGAAAATGAGAACGGGAAATATTTCCCTGCTCCATTTTCCGTCCGTGGACGGGAAATGAGGACGGAAAAAATTTCCCGTCCTCACTTCCCGTCCTGGGACAGGTAATGGAGCAGGAAAATGAAAAGACAGTAATGTGACATTTTCAAATTTTTGAAAAGTCAGTAATGACAACATTTCATATATGGTTAAAAATAAAAAATAAAATTGACGTGTTCGAGGATTTTTAAAAAAATTGCTTGGAAGAATAATAATTGAATTTATTCCTTACTTTACGGCCGCACTGTAGAATTGAGAATAATATAAATGTTGATCCTAAATCATTGTGGAGATTTATTCGTATGACAAGAGCAAACAATAATATACCTCTTTCCTTAAAATTTGAAAATCGATCTAGTAATGATGGTCAGAGTAATGCTCATTATTTTCAAAATATTTTTCATCTGTGTATACAGAGTCCAACCATGAAGCTCACTCTAACTTATTGGAAAATAGTTCTATCACAGGTAGGTAATTACAGTATTGGGATTGGCGATGTTTTTCGGGAATTTTCATCAATTGATGTTTATAATGGTGCTAGGCCAGATGGTATATGATATGCCCCTCTATTTATAAAAAATTGCGCATTTGCATTGTCAAGACCTTTATGGCTTTTATATAACAAATCTTCAGAGACAGGAGTATTTCCATATTTATGGAAGATCTCATTTGTTACACCAATTTTTAAAAATAATGGTTCCAGAAACGATGTTGAAAACTATAGTCCAGTTATCATAATGTCTCATTTTCCTAAGGTTTTTGAATGTATTGTTGGTCAGTATTTGTGTTCAAGTTTCAAAGGAATTACATCTGATAAGCAACATGGTTTTATTAAAGGGAGATCAAAACAACAAATCTGCTCATTTATCAACATACTATTTCTAGTGCTCTTGAACAGGGATATGTAGTCGATACAATTTATACAGATTTCGAAAAGGGTTTTGACAGAGTTGATCTCAACATATTATTGATAAAGCTGTCATATTATGGTGTTAATGGTGTGTTCTTGTTATGGTTGAAGTCTTATCTAATGGGTAGAAGGCAAAGAGTTAAAGTGAAATCTTTTCTATCTGACGATTATAGTGTCACCTCAGGTGTCCCCCGACCCGAGCTGGTCATCTTGCTCCGTTACTCTTCAACATATTTATAAATGACATAGTAGAATGTTTCCAACATTGTAAGCAGGGCCGGATTAAGGGGGGGCTTTGGGGGCTAAAGCCCCGGGCCCCGAAATGAGGGGGGCCCCAAAACACCACCTCACGTGGGGAAGAAATCATGCATATAATTTACACCAAACAAAACCGTCGTTTTTAAAATTCGAAGCCCACACACTTCAGGTTTGTTGACATTTCGAACATAAAATCAGGTGAAGCCAGATATTTGCATCGGTTTTGTATGCCAGCAAAAACGACAATTTTTCGCACACACACTTCGGTTTTGTGTCGTTTTTGCTCGATCAGATTTGCACGTACAACAGAGGTGCTTTCCAGTGACCCATTTGAGTTACTCCTGAGCAGCTCAGGAGTGCTCCACAATTACTTTGCACGTTCCAGTGCTTAGAGTGTCGTACACTTGAACTACTCATTTTTGTTATCCCCTGCCCCCTCGTGCACCAACCTCCATTTCGGTGTTCCATGCTCCTGAAATCCGAAATGGTGGGGGTTAAGACGAAAGCGTTCCAGTGCTGCTTATGGCGAACAGAGAAGAGAATTTTGGTAGGAAATGGTGATGGTAGCCCCAACACGAAATTTTAAATTTGATGTTGGCATCATCTCGTAGAGGAGAAAAAGTGGCAACGATGAAGTAAGATTTATTTTGAGATATCTCTTCAAATAAAGTCAGGAAAAAATAAAAACGAATTTGAAACATTTCGGTTTTTCCTCATATAGACTTTGCTCTTATCTTACCGTTTCCGAGATTCCAATGGAGGCATCGAATTTTAATCACCCTGTATATTTGTCTGGCTGAGGACTAGAACTGTCGAAACTATCTGGCTACTGAGGAAACATATTTTAATAGCCAGCCAAGTAACATCTATAAAATTCAGCTTTTATGATATGACGTGAGAACATTTACATTTTATACACTATTGCTACCGGTTATCTGCCAAAGCCACGATGACCCAAAGTACATAGTGGCCCATCGTTCCTACCTGTGTTGGAAGCATGCACTGAAGAACTTTCAGTTTTTATAAAATAACGTAGGTCTGGCAGTCACGGGTTCTTAGACTATATAGAAATATACAACACTATCGGCAAAAGCATAGTCACATATTGCCCGTCGATTTTTATCTGACACTTTTCGTATAAGGAGCGAAGGGGTGAAGTATATGGCAAAAACAGGTGTGACATCAGGTGACCATTGGCGTTCTAACGTAGAGAACCACCAGCTCATATTTTTTGGAGTATCAGAATAAAATCGACGGACTTCATACATAGTTCAGATGTCTGGCTACTGAAGCACAGAACCGAAAAAATGCTGGAAATAAAATAGATTTTTGGAGAAGAGCGGCAGGCAAGTCAAAAATTGAAAAATAAATTATCAGAGAAATTATGAACTCAAGATACACAATAGTTGATGATTAAGACAAGCAATTGTACAAAGAATGGGAGATACGATCGAGAATGCCCAAGCAAATCATCGACTGCAAGCCCGGGAAAGAAGACGTAGGTACCAGACCGAGAAGAGCTGGTTCGTCAATGATAGTTCGTCAATGATGGTTCCATATTCATATTAGCTCTTACCTTATTGTATTCTCAAAGAGCTTAGCCCATCATATTTCAGACTCTCATAGTTCAGAGGGACGAAAAAAAGTAGTTCTTAGTTTAGGCTTGGTTTCCATCTTTAAAGTTAGATCATTTTATAACACCACATCAAGTAGGTAAGTGTATGAACTATCTTGATTAATCCTTCACATTTTTCAGGAGAGAAGCAAGCACTGACTATCCAGTATTAAGCACGCTTCTCGGAGCTTTCTACAGAGGCTCGTTGGTCGTTTACAATTCGAGCTACGGCAAAGTGTTGCCAGCTACTGAAGCTGAAATTTTATTGGTTTGGTTCGGCTGGTATTTGTCCAGCCTGTTTTTTATTTATATTTTAGGTAAGTACATTCATAGCTTTTTTGTGGAATTTTACACTGTGGCATTAATCTTCCCATTTTCAAGCAATGATTATGGAAATAATGAAAGGCAAAACGTCAGCTTCGCACAAGTACGTCGAAATGGAGCGTCAGCTCAAGGATTACATGCGCCACAAACAACTGCCGATGCAAATGCGCACCAGAATTCTAATTTATTACGAGTTCAGGTTCCAGAAGAGCTATTTTCGCGAAAACGAGATTTTGGATACTATTTCTGAACAACTTCGACAGGTAGGCCAGCAGGCAAGTAATAAATAAAGGGAGGCACCTGGAAAGTATTCCAAAGTCAATGATGTTTTGGCATATGTCGTTTGTGGGGTAGAATTTAAGCCATTTTCAGTTTTTTGCTCATAGGTACTTCTAAGCCATATGCGTTTTTAGCGGAATACACTTAAGTATATATAAAGTCGAAGAACATTAGCAACATAGGTGAACATGTATCTTCAGAGAAATAGCATTATCTCAAAACTAACTCGAAAACTTTACTACGTGGCAGTAGAGAGAATGCTTAGCGTTGCATGTTTTCGTTACATATTAACGAACTTCCTCTACTGTGCGTAAAAAAGTTTCACCTCGAAAAAAAAACCCAAGAAGCTGAACCTATCTTTTCAAAATTTTTTTTTTCAGGAAATAAACATGCACGCCTGCCGAAAACTTGTTGAAAACGTTATTTTCTTCAGAAACCTACCAATCAATCTGCTTGTGCGCATCATATCTTGTTTAAGAATCGAAGTCTACCTGGTAAATGACATTATTATCAAAGCAAACACCCCTGGTACAAGCATGTACTTCATTTCCACTGGCACCGTCGCTATTTATACAAAATCAGGAAAAGAGGTAACCAATTGTTGGTTTTAAAATTGATAAAAATTACTTGATTAAACTGTAGTAGATTTGCCATTTGGAAGACGGTTCTCATTTCGGCGAGATAGCATTGATAATAAAAGACACCCTAAGGACCGCCTCAGTTATTGCAGTGGAAGTATCGGAGATTTACAGACTTGACCAAAAGGACTTCGTCAAAGCCATAAATCCTTATCCGGATCTCTTGGCTAATATCCAGCATATTGCTGCCGAAAGGATGGAAGTTGCTATTATGCTCGATGACTATAACAAAAAGGAGCATTCAGCCAAACGTTAACTTTTATTTATTAAGAAAGTTTAGGCTTGCAATGACAAATTGAGTCAATGTTCTTGGGTTATTTAGCTTAGGGTAGTTTTATTATTAAGCATTGTCTTGTGGACGGCTAGTTTATAGAATTAATGTAGTTGATACATATAAGATCTATATTGTTAATTCAAAGTTTCGCTTAATACAGAGTTTAGTTTGTAAACACAGCTTTTTATTATTTTATAATTTAAAATCAAATTTTCATTTTAAACAAGAGGCGAACAGAATTTTATTTGTTACACACATTAGGTAGGTGGATCAATAACCTACCAAATTATTTATAAACGAACAATGGACCTACCCCTGAACTGCTTGATGGTCTATGCTATGCAATAGATGCATGTTGACCATGTATTTCAAACGTGTTCTAAATATGAGGAGTGCTTTATCGATTTTAAAGATAGCATTCACATTTCATTGAATGATTATTTGGCCGGTGTTAATTGGTGTTTAATGAATGATTTCACCCTTGAGCAGGCTGGTCTATGGTTTTACGGAACATTGTGAAAGGGGATAACTTTATATGTTCCAGTAAGTAAAAAAAATCCCAACTTCTAACTTTCCTATGTGGTTCAACACTGAGCTGCGTGGATTGATTGTTGAAAAGAAGCTGCACAAAAAATTTAGAGAAACGAGAAATTTGTTGTTCTCTGAAGTGAGAGATAGGTGCAAGAATTTGAGGATCTCCTCTTATAGAATAGAACTACTCAAAACTGAAAATACCAATGGGAATCCTAGATCATTTCGGTCACACTTCAATAATCTTAGAAATAACTTTGTTCTTCCCTGTAACATGAGTTATAATGGCTCTACTGGCTGTAGTAATCAAGTGACTTGTTTGCAGACTTCTTTTCTTCTCCGGAATACTCATTTTACAACATCACTGATGTTTCTGGATGCTCTGTTTCTTGTGCTGATATTATAGAAGAAATAAAAAGTTCACCTGATAAGTTGTCATGTGGGCCAGATGGAATTCCTTTGCTCTTTATAAAGAAATGCCTGTACACTCTTCAACTATTCATTGTTTGTCGACAGGCACTTATCCGGTTTTGTGGAAGTTCAGCTTTTTGAAACCAATATTTAAAAGTGTGCCAATAGAAGAGGCCACAAATTACAGGGCTGTTTGCGCGCAGTTTGAGATTCCTAAGATGCTGGATTGTCTAATATGCAGGAAGCATTTTTCCGTTTTCTATTTGATTACCGCTACATGGAGCGCTAATCCTTTAGGACTTGTAAAATTATATCTGACATCGCGTTTCCTATTAGGCCAGCGCACATTGTCTACCTCTACGTAGAACGCTAATCATATAGGATTTGTTAAATTATGTATGACGACTCTGACGTCGGGTTTCCTATTAGACCAGCGCACATCCTCCGCGATCGTCTGCAGACATCCATTGCATTGCAATCCATTTCACTATGGTTGTCATTTTTCGAGGTTAATTGGTGGTTACAGGTGGTGCAATAATTTTGTAATATTTCTCGTTGTGTCTCGTTTTATATTCCCTATTGATTCTACACTGAGAAATCCTTTACCAATGGATTTTCGGCTATCATAGCAGAAATTTTGGTTATGTAACAGTAAAATTCTTTGCTGCTACTAATATTTTTTTCCTGTTACAGTAGAAACACTTATTATTACTAAAGTATATTTTCTACCGCGGCAAAGTCCTTGCCTGCAACTACGAAATAGTATATTGTTGTATTAGGAGTAGAAGCTTTACTTTTTTGTGCTGAAGCAGTAGGTTTGCAGCAGAACTATTTTAATTACTGTTGAAATGAATTTGGCTGCTATAAAAAAAGTTAATCTCGGCAAGTTCTTTTATTAATTATTATTAAAAACCAACTCAATGCCAAAAGTCACGTAACAGCATGGTCTAATAGGAAACGCGACATCAGATATAATTTTACAAGTCCTATATGATTAGCGCTCCATGTAGCGATAAACTATGTGCGCTGGCCTAATAGGAAACGCGATGCGAGATATAATTTTACAAATCCTAAAGGATTAGCGCTCCATGTAGCGGTAACCAAATAGGAAACGGAAAAATGCTACCAGGAAACTTAGCTGCGACTAGGTACCTTTTAAATCCGGAACAACATGGGTTTACGATGGGTAGATCGACATCATCGAATTTGGTTTTGTATCAGAATTTTATTTTGAACAGCATGAAGAGAGGGTTGCAAGTCGATTCTGTTTACTCAGACTTATCTAAAGCTTTCACATGATGGTTAACCATCGCTTGCTCATTAGGAAGCTTGGTTATTTGAGAATAAGGGGTTCAATTCTGAGTTGGTCTGCTGAGTTTCTTGTTGGGAGAACTGAAGCAGTTAGGTATGGCGGCGTTGTGTCTTGTGTCTTTGATGTTCCTTCTGGGATACCCCAGGGACTTTATTTTCGAAACCGAGGAACAGCGTTCTCATGAGAACGGTTGCTCTGTCATTGTCAGTGTTATGGAAATATGAAAACGGACGACGAACACAGATCCTTCGTTCTCATGAGAACGCTCCTCCCCTGTTTCGAGAATAAAGTCCCAGGGGTCTCTCTGTGGACCGATCCTGTCCAATCTGTTTATATCCGAGGTGGGTAGTTCCATTGCACACAGCTCATTTTTGACATTTGCAGATGATCTTAAACTTGATCGTCAGGTGGCTCGTTGGAAGACTGAGAACTGCTGCAAGATGATATCGATTATTTTGATAAATGGCGTGGCACGAATGAAATGGACCTCAATATTGCCAAATGTTATAAAATAACTTTTTCCAGGTTAGCCCAAACAGTAAAATTCCTTTACACAATTAATAACACACCAATCAGGGAAATAGCAAGCATTCGAGATTTGGGAGTGGAATTTGACTTCAAGATGTCATTTAATGGCCATATGAGCGATGGTGCGATCCATGTTGGAATACTCATCGGATCGGTTATCTAGTTACCCCAATATGCTGTTCACATTGCAGCTCTGAAAAGGGTTCAGAATATATTTCTACGGGTGGCTGCTTACAGATTGGGCCCAACTCATGATGAGTATACCTACTTATGATGGGATGAGGGCTTTCTTGAGTGTTCATACCTTGCATAAAGCAGGAGACTTCAGGTGGACTTTTCTTTCCTTTACAAACTTTTGAGAGGATTAATTGACTGCCCAGATCTTTTGCGTCTCGTTTCTTTGCGAGTAGGAAAAAGAAGGGTGAGAGGTTCTGACCTGCCTATGCTTCATTCTATAGTACTAATTATGATATGAATGAGTCGATCTCTTCTCAAGTTTGTCAACTCAAGGAGCCGGAGTATTGACATCTTCGGTTGTCCTTCTGTTATTGCCTTGAAAAGGAGATTGCTACCGTTGCTCGCTGGACAGTTCCTTAAATAAGATTATCTGTTTTTATTTAATTATTCACAAACTCAACAGATTTACATCCAATTACAGAGTAGGTGTTAGGATAACTAGCATACTTATGGTACTTGGTATACATATAACATGATTTAACCGATATCTCTCACATCGCAATTTCATTAAATCTTTTCTTAAATTTTTCCAATCCTAGGCTGAAACTGTCACATTCGTCACTAAATTGGTTGTAAAGTTTACACATTGAAATAATGGGAAAATAGCTTTAATAATTTGTTCAAGTACTATCTTGTTCTGAACATGAAAGTTAAGATAAGCGATCAGATCAGAATCCGCAATAAAATTATTAGATAACTAGTTTATGCAAAAACATAATGGAAGCAATTTTTCTCCATTTATCTAAAGATTTTATATTGTAAGTTTTCATAATGTCTATTCTAGGTACATGCACTCACCACTTTCTTTGTAATGTATAATGTATGTGTCTTAGAAAATTATTTTTCCTACGAGCGTGCGCAAAGTAGTACTTTTCCGCACGCATTTCGGTTCTCAAAGTTGCACTTTTCCGCACTCAGTGCGGATACAGGCCTTATCCGCACTGAGTGCCGAAAAGTAAGAATAATTGTCAAGCAACAATAAGTGCACCTGTCGACGTTGACACATGATGACAAATTTTTCCTCTGTTTCTATATCAGCCAACATCTATACAAACACCAAATTTAATTAACTTTGACACATTGTCAGATTTGTTCTCTATTGATATGCAAGAATCTACAAACTTTCTCATCAAATTTAAACGTTTTAGGATAAAGGGCTCTGACGATGATTTTCTGTTATTTTTTTTTTTGTTATGTAATTTTTTGATAACTGTATAGATTCGCTTCAAGTTAATTAAAAATAATTGAACAAATTATTGTTTTTTTTTTCTAAATTTTTGTTGTTACCTACCTGATATGAAGCTCGTAGGAAAAATTTAGTTCCTAACACGTGCGCAAAGTGTCTTTTCCGCACGCAAACACTTATCCGAACTCCGCTTCGCGTCGTTCGTATAACTGTGTTTGCGTGCGGAAAAGTAACACTTTGCGCACTTGTTAGGAAAATAACTATTTCCTACGAGCGTGCGCAAAGTAGTACTTTTCCGCACGCATTTCCGGGCTCAAAGTTACACTTTTCCGCACTCAGTGCGGATACGGGCCTTATCCGCACTGAGTGCCGAAAAGTAATTATAATTGTCAAGCAACAATAAGTGCACCTGTCGACTTTGACGCATGATGACAAATTTTTCCTCTTGTTTCTATATCAGCAGCCAACATCTATACAAACACCAAATATAAATTAACTTTGACACATTGTCAGATTTGTTCTCTATTTATATGCAAAAATCTACAAACTTTTTCATCAAATTTAAACGCTTTAAGATGAACAGCTCTGACGAGGATTTTCTGTTATTTTTTTTTGTTATGTAATTTTTTGATAAATGCATAGGTTCCCTTCAAGTTAATTAAAAATAACAACAAATTATCGTTTTTTTTTTTAAATTTTTGTTATTACCTACCTGATATGAAGCTCGTAGGAAAAATTTTGTTCCTAACACGTGCGCAAAGTGTCTTTTCCGCACGCAAACACGTATCCGAACTCCGCTCCGCGTCGTTCGTATAACTGTGTTTGCGTGCGGAAAAGTAACACTTTGCGCACTTGTTAGGAAAATAACTATTTTCTACGAGCGTGCGGAAAAGTGCACTTTTCCGCACGCATTTTAGTTTGGAAAGTTTCACTTTTCCACACTAAT